ACGAGCAGTGCCGCATACTTGCATACATTGGCAGCTGCGAGAGAGAAGGGAAGAGCACGAAAGGCGGTAATGGTACCAAGAGCGCGTTCGGTTTCGTGGCCCGTGAACGCGGTATACGCTGGAGGAGACCAGTGGGCGCGTATCGATCTGCGGCCGCTGCATCTTGGGCGCTCGCGAATCGAGCGGGCAAATTTCGTTTTCCAAATCGCCTTTGCCGCTCGTGCACTTGAGAAATGGTCTCGGTTTGTGTGCCGCCGTGCTTGACGCCGCCGGCGTATCGCGGCGCGCTCTCGAGGAGCCATTCAGCGGCGGCGATGCTCGTCGGCCGTGCGCGACAGCGCGTGCATGCGGCGCACGATGAATGGCGGCGCGCCCAAATGGTATTCGGCCACGCGAGCGCGCCCCGAATGTCAAGGCGATGACTAGAAGACGTCCCCGATTGTCGAGGCGGCTGTTTCCGGGCCGTGCCTGGTGGTAAGTGTTCACACACCGTCGCCGGTGGAGGTAGCACAGCTAGCGGTCAGGTTCGCTGCGGAAATTTACGTCTCCTGAGCTGGACTAATCATACGAAAGCGTGCGAGTAAGAGAGCTTGGTACGACCTTTGACCTCGCTGTCTATGGCCACAGAAGAAGAGATTGAAGAGCCGCCCACCAAAGGAAGCGTGGCAGTTTCTGTGCCGCTGTTGAGACCCTAGACTTGTACGATGTCCACATATCTTCTGATCATCGTGCCTGCTTTTCAGACTAGCTCCGATGACCGTCGGTTCGGAAGCATGGGACAGGGGAACACAAGGACCGAATTCAAAAGCATTTTCACCCCGTAAGCTCACAGCAACAGTCGATTTTGGTGGCGTGTAGTTGTTCGTTGCTGCCGCCGCTGGCCTTCGTCGCAGCTATCGGGTATATTAAAATAAGAAAACAGGGTTTGAGGTTCGAGTACAGGCTTTCTTAAAAAGCAACTGCTCGGCCGCCGAGCACTTGTTTTCCTGTGAGTGAGCATGCCAGTATTTTTTCTTACTTCCTCCGTTTTTCAGTGAGAGGATGGAGGCTTGCATAATTATTTGGGAAAAAGACCCTATACAAGGTTCATGTATGGCGAGGAAGTGCGTTAACAGATGAAATATTGTGTTTCAGGAACAAGTATTCATACTTGGCCTTAAAGGGGACAAAAAAGCGGCGAAACTCACCAGAAAATCCACCCGCTTCGGCGCCTATAAGCGGCTTGAAAAACACAAAACGAGCCCGGTCCGGAAAAAAAAAAAAAATCTTGCGAGCCTGATTTTTCCGCCACGCAATAGGGGAACGCCTTTCCGTTTCTCGGGAAGCCGTACTTTGGCTGCTTTCCTAAAGTTTCCTACAATATCGCTGCTGTATAGTATGTGTAAAAAATCCGATTTAAACATCCGGCCGCACATTTTAAATGGCGTCCAAGGAGTCGGCGGTGATTCTCATTGACGCTGTATAGCTAACTATACCCGTGTTACACGACAGGACTTATATATAGCATTGCAAGCTATTCAACGCATAAATTCGGGCTATAGTTAAAGGGGAAGAAGTGTATACCTAAGGGCTCGTTTTTCCGTGTTTTGACACAATATTAATGAGATATAACATACAGTAATGCTAAGGAATGTGCAGGGGAAGTTATTAGAACCAATGGAATGTAAGTAGGAAAGACCGCTGTGATAGCTCAGTGGTTAGAGCATCGAACGCGTTATTCGAAGGTCGTAGGTTCGATTCCTGCTCACGGCTGGTTATTTTTTCACCCACTTTTCTTTCTTATTTACATTCCATTGGTTCTAATAACTTCCCCTGCACATTCGTTGGCATTACTATATATATATATATATATATATATATATATATATATATATATATATATATATATATATATATATAAGCGTTTACTATGTCAATATTCGTTATTATTCAGAAAAACGTGGTACCCGCTACACACTTGTAAGGAATCGTGTGCAATTTCTTGATGCTGTGCTCGACGGACGGCGATGAAGAAATATGCCGGAGGAAATCAACCACATCTATCGTATTGCCCTTGATTTCAAACTCCACAGGTGGGCTACGTACATCTGTTGGTCCATTAGATGTTGAACTCAGTGATATTTCTTCCATTAGAAGTGTGATAATCAGGGTGAATGAACAGTGGAAGTGCCTCAGAGTGGCTGGCCGACGTTTCGATAGGAGGACCTATCTTTTCGAAAGGCGCCGTGTCATCCTTGGCGTGTTAGTTTTAAAGGGGTTAGTGGTGACGTCATCTTCTGGTGGTGGCGCGTGTCCCTGTTGATAATCGCCGTCTGAAAAGCAAAAAAAAGAACTATAAAGCAGAGGACTGAAGTCCTCGCTTTCCTTCAAGTCAGGTGGTAGTGATACAAAATTGTTCTCGGAGAGTGAAAAAAAGAAAAAAAAAGCATAAATAAAATACGCAAAGTTGGAGTGGTGTGCTGCAAAAGTGGTCTTCCGAGCCGGCAGACAGTCGCCGCGTCTGGCTACCACAAAGGGTTGCCGACGATAGCGGCGGCGTCTTTTCCCGTACACCTACGAATAGGGCGCACAAGGAGGCAGTTACAATCAGGGGGAGAGGCAGGCGGCGTGCTTTTAAACGCCAAGATATCGAAGGTATAAGCGATACCGAATGGGGTCTGAAAAGCCTGACGATATTTATAGCGCGAGAACAAAACGACGACACAGAGACAAGAGGGACACGAAAGACACGTGTCCTTGTCTCTGTGTCGTCGTTTGGTTCTCGCGCTACTATCGTCATGCCATACCAACTAGCCCAAGCTGCCACACTTCTCTAAGTCTGAAAAGCGCGTGTTTAGTGGGGAAGGTCATTGTCAAAAATATGCTTTCAGTATCCCTGTAGGTGGCCCGCCCAGCGGAATTGATTCCAGAATTTGGCGGCATGTTGGCTGACGAAAAGGGAAATTGAGAATGCTGTGAGAATAGTGATTCGCCATTAGAAATGTAAGACAGAACCTTGAAATCATTTTTGGCGATATATATTCAAATCATGAAAGACATTTGCCTTCATACGTACTAATGGTCTTTTGCAACATCATTTAAAGGCAATAAATATAAAGCAAATATCACAGCTACAGGTGCCTCACAACCCGAAAAAAAAAAAAAAAACTGGCACTCATGGAATTTGCTCCGAGAACTTTAACTGGCCATTCTCTTTAAGACTTCTCGATTTTTTTTCTAGTATTTTCGACGGAGTTTCTGGCGATGATTATGGCATTAAGAAAGCTCAGCCCACCAACCTTAAGTGTAGGTATTGTCACAGATTTGTCATCTTTTTGTTCAGTGCTCGCTTCTAACAGTGATTCGCCATTATGACGTACGTTTCATTTTCTGATTCCCACTCATTCAACTTTAATCAGATTGATCTGTGTTCCGAGACATAGAGATGAAAATGAATGGAATTGTGGGCACTCTGGCAGAAGCTGCTTTCAGTGGTCCGATACTTCCAATTATTCCCGCATCGTAACTGTTATTACTTGACAGATTTTGAAAGCGGACAATAATACAATACTCTGGTACAACAATTATCACTCACTTAAATGAATATCGACACCTCTTGTTCCCTTGGTGTACGAATTTCTGGACAACACGCAAAGAAGAAGTTATTTGTACAAAATCACACTGTCGAGTTGCAAAATTAAATTATTATATGCATAGAGCTGCTCTGGCTCCTTCCCCTCATTGCTCATTTTGTAACAAGGATGAAACAATCAATCGTGTAACTGCTTCAATTTACCGAGGAAAACAATCTTGAATCCGCTTTTTATCGAATGAAATTTGATTTTATAATTTCTATAATATACTTTCCTTGGAAGTCTGTTCTTCAGGTCGTCGTCACCGGGATATCTGTTCCGCTTTAGCAAAATTCTCAATCGAATGAGGACGGTTTTTTTAAATTAGTAAAATTTATTTCCTAAAAAAATTGCCCGCAGCTTCCCTCGGGGGAACACTGAGGAGGATGCGGACCATATAATTGGTTAACGGGGTGTTAAAGTGCGACTTACTTGGGTCGATGGCTAAATTGGTTAACGTGGTTGTGAAATGGGGTGTTAAATTGCGACTTACTTGGGTCGATGGCTAAATTGGTTGACGTGGTTGTAGGAGGGGGTGTTAAATGAGTGAACACGTACACACGTATGCGAAAGGGCGGCGCTGGTCGAAGGGACGTCGATCATTGTGTTTGTGGATTCGTTGGAATTCATTTCACCGCGACCTTGGACGTCGACGCGCCGTACAAACCAACCGACGAGCGGCAACTGAGCGAGCGAGCGCCGACCTTGAGTATATACAGCACGACGGCGCACGCACTGTCAGCTGTTGAATGTTCTCGAAGCGCGACGCCACATGCGCGTCCACTGGAGAATCAGGAGAATTGTAGATGTCGAACGCGGTGTGTAGAGGAGGAAGGGTGCACAGATGGTGGAGGAGTGAAGCGCGCGCGGTGTGTAGAGGAGGAAGGGATGCACAGATGGTGGAAGAGTGGGCGACGGCGCGACGGCGCATGCGCGCGCGTCAGCTGTCGAATGTTCGAGAAGCGGTGCGGACGGCGCGGACGGCGCACTACAAGGCGCGACTATAAGATGCTTCCGCATCTAAAATTTGTAATGCGAGATATATATGTGATCAATTTTAATTATTCGTTTCTTGGCCAATCCCCTTGAGTGGGTGTGATCATCACCGTCTTGCCTCAATGCGTCTCTCATAATCAAATAGTGGTTTTGGGACGTTAAACCCCACAAATCAATCAATCAACCGTCTTGCCTCAAACTCTAGCGGGCAAGAGGTGTACACAGCTGTCGACCTGGTTCGGTGAAAATATTTATTGCGTAACTCAGTTGTCACACAAATTTGTGCACGCTGGCGCTCGTGCGGTGGCCGGGGCGGATCGCTGCTGCAACGTTTATCCCCAGCGAGGGACGCACGCGTCTCGCTCGCGCAGGGTGCGACGTCTTCCCGCGCTGTCACGAGCTCCGCACCGAGTGCACGGCGTGCACCAAGAGCGCTATGGCCACGACGACGGACATGGTGCCGACCATGATGGCGACTAACTCGCGCTGCGACCTCGCCAGGCTGGCGATGCCGGCGGCTAGGAACATGACGAAGCCGAGCCCGTAGTACTGCACGGCCACCAGCAGAGGCAGGTCGCGGCCGGCACGCGAGCCCACCAGGCCGTTCACGAAGAACATGACGCCGACGAGCGCGTACGTGAATCCCAGGTTGCAGAGGAAGAAGAACACGTCGAACACGAAGCCGCGCAGGCTGAGCGTTGTGACGATGGCGCACGAGCAGAGCACCTCCACGATGCCCAGCAAGCCGGGAGGCGTGCGGTAGTACTCGCGGTTCAGCTGCAGTCGCACCGAGCTGCTGCCCAGGTTGAACTTGTTGCCTTGGCCCGATGGAGCATTCTCGGCGTGTGCCGGAGGGGGAGGCCCCATGTGGGGCGGTGGCGGTGGCGGGCCGCTGCGATGTGGTGGGCCGCCCGAATGCGGTGGTCCTCCAAAATGTCCTAAATGCGGCGATGGTCCCCCTGATTGCGATGGTGGGCCGCCGGATTGCGGTGGGCCGCCTTGGTGCGGTGGTCCGTCGAAACGGGCTAGACCGCTAGGATGTGGTGGGCCACCAGGATGCGGTGGGCCGTCAAAGTGCGGTGGGCCACCAGGATGCGGTGGGCCGTTGAAATTCGGTGGGCCGCCAGGATGCGGTGGGCCGTCATAATGCCGTGGGCCGTCATACTGCGGTGGACCGCCGTGACGCGGTGGACCTTCGGAATGTGGTGGACCGCCGTGATGGGGCTGGCTACCCTGGCTATGCTGAAGTGTCGCTTCCATGACCTCTACTCGTGCTGTCTACGACCGCTTGATGACCTGCGGGACGCGGTGCTGCTGATAGTTCCCGCGAGGATCTACGGTAACCTTACCTGGAAGGTTTTGTTGGCGTTCCGATGACCCTAGCTGTTCCCGTGAGAGCTCGTGCTTGAGCCACATCCACTGCCCGTTGGCACGCGCCCTCTTGATGCCTCTGGGGATTCCTCAGATTGCAGCTTCGGCTGCGCAAGGTAGAGAGATCAGTGGAAGCAAGTTTCCTGCTGTCCTGTCTCCACAGCACAAACTCGCTGTGCTTCGCCTTCGACAGATAACATTGTGCTCTTCAAGATGAAGGAGAACGACTCCGTGGTTGGTCTTACCTAAAATAACATTTACCAGTCTCTACGTTGCATTCTTGGCCAATCCCCCAAAGTGGGTACGTGCCATGTATATAGGATAGCAAAGCAAAGCTAACGAGTGCCTTACAGCACGTCCTGTAAGATTGCTTTATGTATTGGGTGCCTACATATATCGGCAGCTATATCACGGTGTCACAAGAACCAATCGATTGGCACACGTAGAAACTACGCAAGGGAACCAATTGAAATTTCGTGTCAGCGTCTACGTATAATGTACCAAAGAAGAGTTATTATTATTATTATTATTATTATTATTATTATTATTATTATTATTATTATTGCAGCAGTCTTTAGTTTTAAATAGTTTATTGTTCCGAACATAAGAAGCAGTGCACTAAACACGGCTGGCGTAAATAACCATCTATTCCGTGAATTTTGGAAAAGTCAACTGAGAAACTATTCGCTCAGCTTTTATCATGAATTAATGAAGGAGAACATATGCGTAAACTTTCAGATTTATTACGACTGTATATATTAATGAAGATGAAGGTTTGTGCCAAATATGGCTTACTTGACGGTGTTGTTGGGCAAGTCACTTCGTACTGAAGAAAATATTAAGGACGTAACCCAAATATACGAGATAGAGAGAAAGAAGAGAGACGCCCTGTCCCGTCTCCTTTGTTCTTTTGAAGCGACAGCGTCAAAGAGCTTGTTTCGCTTTCATGCCGGCGTCGGCGTGGTTGGTTGTGAGTGAATAATCATCCGAAAAATCGAGGTACAAGCAAATAAAATGAAATATTGCAGGACATTAGCGTGGCAACCGGTGTTCTACCGCAGAGCCAAGCGTCTGCTTGCGAATGTATATATATATATTGTGAAAATAACTTCCTTTGCTTGGAAAGACAGTGAAAGTAACCCGTGCTTTACAAACACTATTCCCTTAAGGCCACGTAGTGAGTGTATAGCAAGTTCGAAAAGATTTCATTCACTAACCCCCGTGTTCTAGAACGCGCTTTCGCTCAACGCTCCACCTTCACTTGAGAAAGCTGATGGGAGCGCCATCTCCAGGCAGGGCAAGTCACTGCATATCAGTGATAAGTTGCTGCTATTCTTGAATAGCGCAGCGTCATTTTCAGCCGAGCAGCGGCGCAGTGCTCCACTCTGTCAAGTGAAGGGTGAAAGTCGAGTCGAGAAGCGTTTGTGAATACGGGGGTAAGTGTTTGAAGCACGCATGAGGGACAGCATATCGCTATTGCGTTCAACTCCTTAAAGGCGAAGTTTAAAGGTCCCCCGATTATTTTTTTGGCGCATCGTGCAGCTGGCAGATCGATACGGCTGCCATGGTTGGAAAACAAAATCTCACTGATTGTGGTTCTTTTGAGGTGCTGTGTGGTATAAAGCAAATGTTGCTTCTTGTGTGCCTGTGGGATAATTGAACATTTCTCTTCGGACATCTGACTGCCGACTTATGATGTGCTAGACGGCCGTTTATAGTTTGCCTGGTTGCCTGGTTGCATGGTGCCACGTTGCAATACTTTTCTGTCCGAATTACCAACCACTTACTTGCCGAGGCAATGAAAAAAAAAAACTAATTAATAATCGACTTGCATTTGTGAGACGTCACATATTTTTTTTTTCATGTACCCACTCCAATAATGTAACATTGGATGGCCAGGTATTGTTGCTGGCACCTCAGACTTTCCTGAAGCATATAAAAACCTACCACCAAAACCTAAATTTTGCATGACAGAGTTGTGCTGCATTGTCTTAGACGCTGCGCTTTGTTTATGTTTGTAATGATCGGCAGCACAAGATTACAGCATATGGCGAATTTCGTCTCTGAAGTGCATACCGCGCCAAAGACGTCACATACCGATTTCCGGCCAGTGTATAGCAGAATGAAAAGGAATTCATAAAAGTAATAACTAGCATGAATTTTTAAGGCTGCGAGATTTCGCCGTAATAATTTTTTCCCTGTTTCTGCTGCAAAGGAAAGGTTGTGATAAAAAAAAAAAGTAACATTCGATGAAAATTCGCATGCCGAACTCTCACATGCACTGTATCTGTTTGAAGTCTATTTTTCGTACTACTCCAGGGATGGCACCGCTTATATTTTTTCAAATGATAGACTTTCTTGGGATACTTAATTAAATGCAGAAATTTTGCTCTGCCTGTCTGTTTGTTTGTTCGTTTGTCTGTGCCACGATTCGGCCACCCGGCCAAAGTTGAAACACTTGGTGAACGCTTAGGCATGTTGACTGAACTGGTGGCTGCGTTCATGCTTGTGAACATTGTCGTTCAAAAAGCGAATATTACGTATATCTGAGGCGCAACATCAATACGTCAGTATTAGATGATGTGTTTTTTTCACTATAAAATATTTCTCACGTAATTCGAAAGAACCTAGAGTTTCTTACGTTGCGCTGAAAATACAACGCTATGCACTAAAAAGACGGCCGGCAGAAGACTATCACCTTTTTAAGACATTTGCAGCGAAGCACGCATATACGTGCCGATTTTTTTCTTTAACTTGAAGTGCGCATACCTATTGGAATTGTATATATTGTGGCTGTGTCACCTTCTCAGCTGTGTCTCTTGCACCCGCAAATAAGAAAATGTTCATCGGCATGTGCCAAATAGGGGACGCCATGCAAAGAGGGTTAATAAAGTGACGTGTTTCTTTCTTTCGTTTTTTAATTATTTTTTACGTGTAATTGTGGCGTGGGCTATGCTTGCGGTTTCTCAAACCGGCCGCACTCGGTCCCGTAGTGGGATTCGCCCGCTATACGCTGTGAAACCGCATTTTGCAAGACTTTTTATCTTCCTCTCCCACTCGAGACGTGCAAATCACAGTGTTTCTCTACAGTCGTTTTGTTCTCGGCATCGCAATGGTCCCTCGTAATCGCGTGATACTACACGTTAAAACATTTCTTCCGTTTTTACCGTCTGTATACGGTTCCCCTTTCTCTCGCATTTGGACGTGTCAGGATCGTATAGTGCGCGAACCGGCTTTCGCTCTGTCGGTGCAGTGGACCGGAAAGCAGCGCTTTTACTTCGGTCCATCTTGAGACGGGCCTGCTCGTCGGAACGAGCTTCATGAGAGTCGACAGCGTGCGGCCCCCGATCTTCCAGGGCCGCGCAATCAGGGGAATGCCGTCACATCGGCTTACGGAGTACCTCGGCACGCCCTCCGCGTTCGCAGGCCGAGAGAGATCGCCGCCCCGAGACGGCGACATGACGCCGATAAGAGGTGCGAAACAAAAGAAAGTGATGCGGGCAGCAGGCGGGGCGATGCCGATAAGTGTAACGCCTTTGGCGGCTCGAGGCGAACTTCGTTCACTTCGAGGAGGGGTGCCTTCCTGGTGTTATTTTGTTTTGTTTTTTTTTTCGCTTTTCGTTTTTATTTTCTGCAGCATTTCGTTGGAGTGCGTGGATACAGAAACGTAGAAATAGCTTGCAGCGTTTGTAGAACAAGAAAAAAAAAAAAAGTTCGAGGTGGACTGGGACTAGCGTGTCCGCTGGCCGTAATTTACACTCGCTTGACCAAGAACTTTCTTTCTTTCTTTCTTTCTTTCTTTCTTTCTTTCTTTCTTTCTTTCTTTCTTTCTTTCTTTCTTTCTTTCTTTCTTTCTTTCTTTCTTTTCCCATAGGTAGTGTTGCAAGGCCGATAATGGTGAGACAGACGCTAACTTCAATCACCTTATAGTTTCGAGCGTTTACCTTTTGTGTGTACGTATCCAGCTGCGTTGCTATAGACGGTTTCAAGATCGCAAGCGTTGCACCCCAAAAAACTTCCGGTCACCTCATTTACCAGCTCTTAACGTCGAAACTGCACCTAGTACGGCACGTTTCGAAGCTTTTCTCGAGAGTAATGAAAATAGTATCTGTAGTTTTTCGGATAAAAGGAAGGTGCGTAAGGTTCAAGAGAATATATTTTAATTTTTATGTAGCTCAAAAATATGTTTATTTGAAATATTTTGTCAAAAGAGCGAAGGAAAGTACAAACTCAGCGGGCTATTTTCTAAAGCTCTTCTAGCCCACCGATGCTATTAAGGCACCTTGGTGGGCGAAACCGGATGTAATCGAGGGCCTAGCCGTGTTGGTAAACAGGGTCCATAGCCTATTGCGCTGTATACTTGGCATTGCAGTTAAGGCAGTCAGCGTCCGCGAACAATGATAACACGATTTCACGTGCCAAGAGACTTTTTGCGCGCTGCGTACGTATTAGTTACAAATAACGGCTGTGTAAGGACGCTGTAGCCATGCACGAGAGTCACTCAGACGCTGTTGAAACCGGAAAAGTCAAAATGCCTCGAAGAACTATTTCAGGGAATACACATCCGAATAGTTTCTCTTCTGGAGTTTCTCCTATTTTTTTTCTCGTCGGTTTGTTTTCTCGCGTTGATCTGTGGCGGTGGCAATTTCAACGACTGGCAACAACAATAACAACGAAAAAAAAAAACCTGAGCCAGTGCCAAGCCCCAAGAGAAAGCTGTACGAACTGTGAAGCATTGATTCGCCTGTATTTGCCTTGTGTTTATTTTGCGTTTATTTTCTCGTTTCGCATCATCACGACATGTCTCATATCCTTTTTTTTATTCTTTTCTAGTAATTTTTTTATATTTTTTGGCGACTTTCTGTTTTTGCTTCTGTGGTCTCCGTTCT